CTTATTAATAGAACAAGAAGTTCACATCGGAGACTGTGCAAGTGATTTTAACAGCACAGCCGGCTACGATGTCTGAGCCATTAGCCAGGCAGCGATATTTGTTCCATACCACATTCACCGATTATCGAAACACGTTGAGTTGCAAGTCAGGTTCTCGGACTTTATTTTCCCTTGAAAAAATCCTCCAAACCACAACTTTACAAAAGAAAAAAGTTCCAGGCCAAAAGACTAAAAAAAAACTATTTAAGAGCAAAAAGGACGTAAAGAAGGAAAAGGGAACAAAACCATACCCATTGGGATTCGAAGTCGTGACCCCGGATGTATAGTCCTGGGTGAGCTAAACGAACGAGGCAGCCATAATTATTGCATGTGTATCGCCCTCCGGCGTAATTTTCCATGTAGTACTAGACTGAGAGGAAATGTGTGATATGGTTGCAGACCAGTAAATCGGTCCGAAATTGCCTACGCCGGCCAAATCACGATTTGCATGCCCTCAAAATCTTGAGTATTTGAGAATACTGTGGGCCATGAACTTGAGGGTTTGTAAAAAATATGGGTGGAAGCCGTGCACAGGACTGTGAGCTTGTAGTTCCGTTCAATTTGGATGAAATTGGGCCCCTTAAAGCGCTCTATTTTGCAATGGAGTGTAGGCATCGTTTTTCAAAATGGCGATGGGCTTCAGGACTATTTTCAGGGGTGATCATCTTCGGATGGAAATTTCTCTTAAAAGTCATCTGTTGACCCCCCGAAAATTGAACAGAAAATGAAAGATGATGAAATCAGCTTTAATTTGATGGGTGTCTCGAACACCTTGGAGAGTTGTGAGTATTTTTCCCGAATTTCTGAAGTGGGAGCATTTACCATTGGGGTCTATGGAAGTCTAGTTACTGGTCTGCAACCATATGGAAAAAAATAGCAGCCAGGGCCAAGTTCGCGCAAGGACTATAGTTGACCAATGGTTAATTAACGTTTGCCCGAACTCTGTCTAGTCGACGATGGTTGACTACGCTAGTCGACTATTTGGAATTATACAACACCTGAATAAATCCCCGTCATCTGATTGGTGAATTGTAGATCACGTGACATATTATTATTCGGTATAATGCACGGTGCGACCATGCGTTATACCCATGCGTTATACCGTTTCACTTTGCGCTTGTTCCATGACGCGGTATTTGCGTGCAAAATGCATGCTGGTGTGCGCGTTCAGCGTAGCGCGTATTGTTTCAAAGAGCCAGCGCTACAGCGTTGGGTTCAAACATTTTCGTGAAGGGGTAGTTCAACATCTTTAAAATCAAAATAAATTGTAGTTTATAATTTACCAATCAAATGACGAGAATTTATTCAGGTGTTGTATAAAACAAATAACGAATGTTTTACGTTCGTGCGATGGAAAGAATAATTTCATTCGGTGACAGATTGAATGTTCTATTCCACTCGGCTTCGCCTCGTGGAATAGAACATTCAATCTGTCACCTCATGAAATTATTCTTACCATCGCACTCACAAACATTCGTTATTTGTATATTATAACACCTCACCCACAGATTCTGTGTCTTGATTGGCCGAGAGTGAGTCACATGTTACTTTCTAATTTTGCTATCTTTCTGTGCACGGCCAAAAGTACTATGCGCATAGCAACCAAAGTACTATTTCCACGGCGTGGTATTTGTGTGCAAATGCATGCTCATGGTGTGCGCGTTGCGCGTTGTGCGTTGTGCGTAGCGCGTATTATTCCAAAGAGAGCGCGCCGCAGACTTGGGTTTAAACATTTCGTGAAGGGGTAGTTTTTAAGAGAGAAATACATTTTCCACCAATTTTGTATTGAAATTGAAGTTTATTTCAACTGTGTTCAGATTTAAATAATTTAAAATATTAAAATCAAGCAGAATCTGTGGGTGAAGTGTTATAAAACAAATATTGAATGCTTTATCTCGTGGTGAAGTAAAACTAGCCTCCCTCGGTGATCCATGGACCATTCTATTTTCCCTCGGCTTCGCCTCGGGAAAATAGAATGGTCCATGGATCACCTCGGAAGGCTAGTTTTACTACACCACTCGAAGCATTCAATATTTGTATACCAGCCTACTGGGGTTGGTTGCTTCGCTGGTAACCAATAGCCGCGCGCATTCATAACGCAAGCAGAGAGCCAGGATCCTGAAGTTTTGCGATGACATTTTGACCAGCGTTTGACTAGAGACGTTCGCATGTTGCTATCAGTGCGCAGGCGTAAGGTACGTCACAAATCAACCACTAGTCGACTAATGGTCCTTGCCCGAACTTGGCCCGGGCCGCCCTTATTATGTAATAGCGCCCTCATTAGGTCACATTCTCGTCCTCTGATTATGTGCGTCCGTTCGCTCGTCCCCCCCCCCCCCCCCCCTTCCTTGCCCTGCAAACAGGGCGCTGGGAAGGGCAGATGAGCTTCACATAATCTTGTGAAGGAAGTGGGGATGGCATTCTGGGTTATTTATCATGACCTATGTATAAAGCATCTGGCTGCAGCTGACTCAGACCGCGGTTAGCCAATGCGCGCAAATACTATCGGAAAGTTTGCCATAGATGTATACACACCATACCGAATGTGGTTTCTTTTTCATTGCGGACCATGTGGACAAATTTTGAGCGTGGAATGATATGCATTTCGACCCTTCGTGAATTCGGAACGGAGCCTGAGCAACTGACGGGGTTGAAAATTTACAAAACAGATAAGTTTTACAGATTTTCCTACATTATTATCCTTTTTTTCAACCAAAAAGGGCGCTGCATTTAAAACTTGTGAATAAAAGAGTGACGAATGACTCAGTCTTAACGGCCGTTTCAAATCTTGCAAGGTCGAGGCCGTGACGCCTTGCCGGTCACAGGTCACGCAAAATTTATCCAATCAGAGCGTGAATTCGTCAGCCCTTCCCAGCGTCCTGTTCGCAGGGCGGGGGGTACGAGTGAAGTGCGTCCGTCCTGCGGTCTGTCCATCCACGTTAAATGGCAAGTGCGCCCTCAGCAGTCGCAAAAGTGAATTTATAAGGCCGAAAATAAAATTGTGTTTACCGTAACGCCCTTAAAATATCTAGGCATAGGTAAATAGGAAAATAATGCTATTTCGTACATTGTTATGTTTTTCTGACGGGCTTTTAATACTTAATTTGTTTACTTTAAGGGTGTTTTTATGATATTCTGTTTGATTAACCTTATTACCAAATAACACACACATACAAAAAAATCATGGCCAAATGTGGCCAGAAAAAGTTCAAGTTAGCAATTTGGCCGAAAAAAATTAAACATCCAGGGGCCAATTTCATAGAGCTGCTTAATCACAAAATTTGCTTAAGCACAAAAACGTCTTGCTTAATAAAATCAGGTTACCGGCCAAAACTCCATGCGATTGTTATGCTAAGTAAACAACAGCTAAATACAAGTCACAAGCAATGTACATCACATGGAGTTTTGGCCGGCAACCTAATTTTACTAAGCAATGTCTTTTCGTGCTTAAGCAAATTTTCTGCTTAAGTAGCTCTATGAAATTAGGTCGGGTTACTGTAAACACACAAACGTCTGGCGACAAAGTGCTGCGTCGAATCTCCGAAACGGTGTCATCGTATCTAACAATCCGTTATAGGTGCAACCTTGTATTAATATTCCCATGGACACTAAACGCCCATACTTTAAAATTCTTTTTAAAATACTCCGAACCCAGATCCAAAATGTTCAGGATTGGAAGCCCCAAGTCCGGACCAGGGGTTCATTGGCATCATCATCTCTTCAATTCCCTAATTTTATGGCTCTCAGAACTCTCTAATATAGAATATTTTGAGGGTATAACTTTTATACATGTACATGAGCTCGGCGGATGAGTTCAGGCCTACTTGCCGATGTGCACCCTTATTGTGCTCATACAGAGCGCGCCCTCTAGCGCACTGAAAGCCATGCAAATTATTATTGTTTTTTGACGGTCTTTGTCCGAAATCTGAATATGTCCAAACATTTTCCCACACTTTTGATTCATGCATTTCATAAATCCAAAAAGGGGAAAGATGAGGAGATTGCGCGGGTTTTAATCATTAAAACTACCCCCCCCCCCAGCCCAGGTTGGACGTTGTCGTCATTGCATTATTAAACAGCCCCATACTCCTTACTTTCTCTTGTACATATATTGAAATAAGTTTATCATTTCTTCAAAGCGCATTTTACTTGTATTATGTTTGAGACACATTTATTGATTTTGTTATTTTGCTATTTACCAGTCTTTCTTTTATTTATGGATGTATTCTCTAAAGGGGTGTGGAATAAATGTCTTCTTGAATTGAATTGAATTGAATTGAATTGAATTGAGGTAAGGGAGTCCACCTGGGCTATACACCCCCCCCCGGACGTTCGGTCAATCGTGGACGTATTGTTTGTGCCCTAACCCCTTTGTCCTAGGTCCACGATTGCCAGTGTTTAAAGAGCACACACCCACACCCACCCACAATGCTTTTGCCCCCCCCCCCAAATATAATAATAATAATAATGATAATAAAAAACAAAGAAGAATTGGAGAAAGTTGATGAGAAAATAATACATGTACGTGTAATTACATATTGTATGTTGGATTTCACAGAAGTTGTTTTCGAAAAGAACATGAATTGTCAGACAAATACAAAATTCTTGAGTTTTGTTTCTTTTCTTTAATTCCAGTGCTTCTTACACCCGAACCAGCTGAGTAAGCAGAACATTATTACACCTTCACAGTCTTTCTGATTAACGATAATTAGCATAATTATTTTGGGACATAAATTATGAGTGACAATTTCACACCAATAATAAACAGTATCTGTTGTTCAAATCATTGTCATTGTAGCTAATTAATCTTAAGTTGGTTTGGGCGAATTTTCGGGACGGAGTTACTTTCGCAATGTTTGTTTCTGTCGACCAGTGAAAATCTAAAACTAAGGCAAACAGACTGCCCTTTATCGAACACTTTGATAAACAATTTGATAAGCATTATCGGAACATGCAAATTGTTTTATCTTTTCTTGCAATTTTGAGACATACTTGAGAGCATTTACAAAACAACCCCCCAAAACAGCACCAGCTGCTAAATACGATATTAAATATTAACCGCTTTAAATACTATTATAAAAATATCAAAATAAGTATTTACATTGCTATATTTTAAGAAAAAGTACCAAAATATTTTATGTTACAAAGAATTCTTTGATAAGCAAAACTTCCACTGGGAAAGACTTGGACAAGGGAAGTTAAATCCTCGTGAGAACATAACTTCACAGTGAAATAAGAGATAGCAATTTTTCCCACTGTAAATTCAATGCAAAACGGGATCACTTTTTTCCCCCAATTAGGTCAATTTTCCAATTGGGTCTATTTTTTAATTGGGTCGCCATCTTTTAAAGATATCTGTCCAAGTACATCCATGCCAGTTATAAATACGCAATAAATTAATTTGTAATAAATACTATGCTAATTAAACGGCACATATAAGTACTGTTCATTCTTCGCTTCCATTCTCTCCTTAAATATTTGTTTAAAGATAAAATAAATACAACATATAAAAGAATTTACAATGCTCTAGGCACAAAGAACAAATAACTTAATGCATATTACTGCTCCCTTCACATGAAAACGCACTGCGTTCTGAATACAATTAAATAATGATGATGAATATTGAAAGAAATCTTATTTTTGGTTTTATTTCCCGCCACCATTTCCAGTAGATCATTAAAATACGCGCATTAAAAAATGTCCCCTCACCAATCAGTATGGAGAATTTTCGACTTTACAAAAATCACGACGAGTGCAAAATTTCAGAATCATTTCCAGACGTGCAGAGATTTTCATTTAAAATTCCGATTCTTTTCCAAACAAAAAAAGAGCTACATCCGAATCCACTGTGTTTGCTTGATCTTTGGTTAATAGTTCAGTTAAAAGTCTCTAAACAATTAAAACAACCATGACAACCAGTAACAGAATAGGGTCCACAATGCGAGTAAAATGGCGAATATCGCTTACTTAAAAACAGAAAAAGCGCGAACTGACTGCTCACACTGGACAATGGGAACGGGTCTTTACCGACCGATTTCAGTATATTGCAAAACTTAAAAAATAAATAAATAAATAGCCGATGGAGGCGTGTAGGCCTACTGCGATCATAGGCCGCATGAAGCTTTACCATCTTCCCTCGGAATTGGCGGGCTTTTCGTTAAAAAAGTCTTATCTTTTTTTTTTCGTGATCAGAGTTGCTATGACGACGGCTGCTCATGCGTATCCATAAATTTGAGGAAGTCCTCCAGGGCGGGCGAGAGGTTGTCGTTGAGTTCTTGTAAGATGTACAGGATCCTCATGTTCAGGTAAGAATGGTTCTGGTTGTTTGCGAAGACGATGTTGGAGGGCGTGGCGTCGAAATCGTGGGCAATGTCAAGAGACACCATCTGTTATTGGGAAAAAAACCAAAAGGGTAGGATTCAATTAACAAGTCAGTCAACAGAATACATTGTAGATTGTATTTAAAACAATATTTTTTTAAAAATGTGGCAGATGATCCTCGTGAACCTTATTTGGTATCTTAAAATTCTTTAATAGTGTCATTAAATATCAATTTACTCTTTCAATTTTTTCCCTTTCATAAAAGATACTAATTATTCAATTTCCTACATGTCCTTTTCATCATAAATCGTTCCATATCTGCTAGTTAATTTAAAAGAGTTTCTTTCAAAAACAGTCCATTTATGTACACAAAGTCACACGCGTACTTGTAATAGTTTAGCGGAGAATAAATGAATAAGACGTACCGTTTGTCTGAGTTTGGAGACGACTCGCTGGAGGTGGTTCAAAACTACCAACAAGTGGTCGTGGAAGTTGGCGTCACCTTCCATCCTAAGCTGAAACTCGTCCGCTCTGGCCCTGGCCAAGATCTGCTCAAACACATGTAGTCTCGAGTAGTGGATTGGCAGAAGCTCGCTCTCCTGTGGGAACGAGATGGATAAAATTAAATCAAATTAAGAAAATGACTTAAAAATAATAAATGCAAGTTGATGTGTCTTTAGAGTTATTTATTATAAGATGGATTTTTTTTTTAATTTGATAGAGTTATTTAGTCATTTAAAATACAGGGTGATTAAAAAAAAACCCGAAATCCAAATTTCGGGACTTTTGTTTAAGTGACGTTCTGCATGTAGAACTTTTAGTACAAGAATCATGCAAATCACTCATGTACTTTTCAAGTTACGGAATTTTAAACACAACCACTGTTTTAAAGTTCTGTCCACGGATCACAAAAAGGGTGTGCATTCTTACAGCGAATCGAACACAATTCACACACATCCATCATGATCAGAAGAGAAAGTATGACATTTAGAAATAGAACGAAAATAGTCATAATTGTAAAGAAAATGAAATAACAAATATGAAAATAAAAACGATTTTAAAATGAAATATAAAGTGACATTGAAGTTGCTCACCTGCATTGAATACCGGTCGACGGGGGCGGGTAGGTCGTTTAAACTAGGGACACCTGCGATTCTGAAATCGTCAATCCTGATCGATGCATCGTCGAATCGGATCGTTTTCTGTGTAAAGAAACCAATAGAAATATTCTAATAAAATAAAATACAATTTCGTGCGCATTTTCATACGGAAAATCTATCACAGTTTCATAACAAGTCATTCAGCTGGTCAAAACGGAGCTGCAATGATGACGTCATCGCTGTTTGTGCAATAGAGATGCGTTCAAAACTTGGCATCTCTTTACGCTTAGTCACTGTATACAACAAAGTACATGTAGCACGATTCTGTACGGAGTAAAAGAAATGAGTTCATGAATGAACTATATCGTGCCACCCTGATTACATTGATGACGAAACTCTGCCGTATCGTCGGCAGGGGAATCCCCACGCAATAATTGCACGTCGACGTGTACGCTTTGTTTAACCTTGCACTTGAAGAAAAAAGTCGGAAGTGTGGTCTAGTTGAACCATTGTGACTCTTATGATGTGACATTCTTGTCGAGTGAGTGTAACAATGTGTCATAGTTATTATACTCGGCTTTTGCGATATTTATTATTCGAATGCATGAAACTGCAGTAGGTCTACATTTGATAATTGTTATGTACTTACGAAGCTTGTGTAGACGTTGTGATGTTGCTCGTCCAGAACATGTGTTTCTCTCACCAGCCGTTCGTAGTGCCGCCAGGGATGTATTTGCTCGGGTGGTATGGGCGTCGACGTACACAGCGCCACGATGGCAGACAGGAGCAGGCTGGTAAGGAGACCTGGCGATCGAAAGGTGAGACAGAATAATCTTTCGTTAGAAAACATGTCAGTGCCTTTCCGTTGTTGCGAATTGGCCTTGTCAAAAATCATGGTGATTTTGTCAGTTGTTGGTGACTGCGATACAAATTCAAAATGTTAACTTAGCCAGATTTGTCCCCGCTTTATAGGAACTTGCAAAGCTATAATAATATTAGTCATATAATACACTCGTATACCATACCTACCATATATGGTATGTCAACATTACGAGGGGGTATCCCAGTATTTATACGCAATCGAATCTATACACCTGTGCTTTGAATTCGTTGAAATTGCACTATAAATAAACATCACAACTCAACATAGGGGTACTTGTACGTATGAAAAAAAGTAGCCTATTTCAAGTTTATTGCGATTGTTGGGGGAGCGGGATATCAAGGCTCACTATAGAACTTAACTTATATTTCCGTGAATTTGGCCTCGCACGACTGAACACTGTCAACCAAGCCAACGAAAGTGAAAAGGGGCCACGCGAGTTGCCGTAAGAAATGGGTGGCAAAAGAATGCATTACGTTTTTTACCCGTGCGTTTTATTTGAGAGGATATCCGGGTCATTATTACGGATGGCAAAAATATGCAGCGTGCCCTTGACGTCGATAATTAACTTGCCGGCACGTGCGGTGGCATTGTTATACCTGTGTCGAGTAACATTGTGCTATTTGTGGATTGGTGAAGTCTGCGCATCCTACACGTCATTGAAAAATGGCTCTTGTAACTTTCCCATTGCAAACAATGCACACACAATAGCGACTGTCATCATGCTTTCCATGTTAGGACCTCAGAATGTGTTAACTTCAAAAAAAGGGGAAGAGTATTTTTAAAACTTGACATCAAGTTCAACGAATGTAATAGAGGGTGATGCTTTTGTGTGGTGAATATTCTATTTGTGACCAGGGTTTCATCTCTACAATGGAAATAAATGCCAGTAGTGAATAGATCGGAAATGTTTGTCGCACGGCGCGCTTGAAATTTTGCAACGTCAGTTCTATCTCCGAATTGACCATGTTATCATCAAAACCGACATTTGCAACAATTTGCAACATTATAACGGGAAATGTATGACAATATAAAGTATTTGATCGAGGCTATGGATTACGCGCATGCGCCTTAAGTGCCATCGACAAAAGGCGGTAATTTGAAATGCAATAAGATCATCGATTTCACAATGTTTCCACGTGCATGCAATCCGTGCAGTCATAGGCCTAAATTCAGTACGGCTGCGGATTTCTTTTTCTTTCGTGAAGATTTGATGCAATAAAATTTAAGTTTATATCAGAACTAGGTTCTTAAAATGTGTCACGTGTCAAGCAGGACGGGCAGTAGCACGCTATTCAGGACGAAACATGTCCAGCGTGTACTATCACAAAAGCCCCAAGCTAACAGTGGTTCATTGATCTCTATCCGCGACCCACTTTGCCTCTCAAAAAAGCCGCCGTCAATTTCGTCATCCACACGGCGGTGTGTGCATTGCGCAACACTGCATTCCTGAAGTGAGACACCGGCGCGGCCTTGAGCTGCTATCAACTACCGGTGTAACTTCCGAAGTTTTTTGTCAGCCACCAATTCTGTAACCATATCAACTTTTTTTGATAACTTCCGAACTTCGTATCGGATGTCGAACCATGGTTGAACAAAGGGTAGTATGCCTTCAGGCTGTGTAAACACTTATGAGTGGAAGAAATGTGACGAAATCAACGGAGGTTTTCGTTCAGATTCCAAAGTTCCCGAGTCATTGATAGAAATGGCAACAACTGAACAAGAAAGCATTTTGATCTGGCGCAGACTCAACCGTACATGGAACATGGAGGTAAGTATTTCATGCATGGAACATACAATAAATAGCGGATGGTTGAAGGGTTGCTTAATTTTTTTACTGAACTGACCTAATTTTTACTTCGGGAATAGAAGGGAAAATTAAATAAGTTGCAGTTTAGGCAAGTATATTTTACAGGTGGTAACTATGAAACCACGCTGAAAATAATAAGACATTGCCAATAAAAACATCTTCAGCTACGCACGCTTTAATGTGAAAGACAAATGCCGTGTGGAACGGGGAGGAACAGGGAAAATAAGTCTACTTCATTGCGATGTAGAGAATATTCCAGAACAAGTAAGAAATACTCGTTTAAAATGTATAAATTTAAAAAATAAAATACCTTGGGTGCATTGCCTGTGCAGTGTTGTTCTTGAGGTCGTATCCATTTCTGTCAGTGTGTAGAATTAAACACGGCTGAAGTTAAAGTTTAACAGTGTGAAGGAATACAGATGCCACACAGTGAATACCGATTGTCAAGTTCTCTTGGACTCCACGAGATGTGCTCAGGTTAGCTCTCCAGCGAATTATGACTGAAAACTGGAACTTACTAGCTGCTTATAAAGGATTTAGGAAGTCCCTACTCACCTATTGGCACGTGAACTGGATCCTATTTGCATACTACCAGTCACTAACGTCGTACTTGCGACCGCCCCGTTGCTACCAGATGACGTCATCCGAGCGGGATTCCGTCTATTGTTATGCCACGAGCCTGTGTGATGTGTCTCCTGTAACAAGTGGAAGCTTTATATCCGGTAGGCTGAAGGGCCTTATCACGGGCCTTTGACAAGTGTAACGTAGAGCTCATGTACATGTACAATACTATCGGTTCGTGCGCTCACAAGAGAACGTACTTCATTCACAAAAAAGTGTTCGCGAGGAGGTACAGTGCCTGTACATGTATCACACGGTATCGTATCACACTTGCATACATGTACATGTACATGCACGCGTATAAATCTATGTGGTATTGTATGGCCCCTTTATAAAGTGTACTTTGTGTCTTAACATGTATTATGAAGCCAGTCCTAATGATGCTGTTAATATAACACCCGCTTTTATGTGCTGTAAAATAACTAGTGTACTAGTAATATAAAGAACAGAACTTCGGTAAAGAAAATTGTTCCTCAAATCTTCTCTCTTTTTTTGGGGGGGGGCGGTTCGTTGATAGATCCATGCTCTTACTGTTTTCATTTCACGGAGGAATAACAGTTATAGAAACACCCCATTTGTACACGTTTTCAAAAAGGCCTATTTCTAACTCATACCTTGTAGGCTACACAATGTTACCCAGTATGGGCACGACTTCTGTAAAATAGCTAAATGTATGTTTAAATGCGGCCATATTATCAGGGTATACAATGTATATGCGTTCAACAACCGTTTGGAGGGCCTTCGTTTCAGTGAAATTGATTTCACAGATCGTGCTACTAATTGAATGTAGTTGTTCATTCGATTTTACCTGTTGCTGTTTAGTCACACCAGTGTACATAATTTACCCCTTGAAATCCTACACCAATCTAGCCCGGGCAAAACGCGTGTAGCACCGTGTAGCATTTTATTTGTGCACAAGTCAATGGTGTAGCACTTTTTTGCTACTTGCTACGGCCCCTTCCTTTTCGCCCTTTCATTTACGCGTGTAGCACCGTGTAGCATTTTATTTGTGCACAAGTCAATGGTGTAGCACTTTTTTGCTACTTGTCACGGCCCCTTCCTTTGTGCCCTTTCATTTACGCGTGCACTGCATGTGTAACATTTAATTTGTGCCCAAGTCAATGGTGTAGCACTTTTTTGCTACTTGGCACGGCCCCTTACTTTTTCGCACTTTCATTTACGCGTGTAGCACTGTGTAGCATTTAATTTGTGCCCAAGTCAATGGTGTAGCACTTTTTTGCTACTTGCTACGGCCCCTTCCTTTTCGCCCTTTCATTTACGCGTGTAGCACCGTGTAGCATTTTATTTGTGCACAAGTCAATGGTGTAGCACTTTTTTGCTACTTGCTACGGCCCCTTCCTTTTCGCCCTTTCATTTACGCGTGTAGCACTGTGTAGCATTTCAGTTGTGCACAAGTCAATGGTGTAGCACTTTTTTGCTACTTGTCACGGCCCCTTCCTTTGTGCCCTTTCATTTACGCGTGCACTGCATGTGTAACATTTAATTTGTGCCCAAGTCAATGGTGTAGCACTTTTTTGCTACTTGGCACGGCCCCTTACTTTTTCGCACTTTCATTTACGCGTGTAGCACTGTGTAGCATTTAATTTGTGCCCAAGTCAATGGTGTAGCACTAACCGACTCACCCGACTTACTATTTCTTGTAGCATGTAGCAGTGCTACAAACACAGACCTTGAATTCATTTGTCTCAAAACTGGCTGGGTATATAAAGACTTATAATACACACAAGGAGCTGGACAATCAAGAGTATGAAGGGCGTCTTGTGTACCGACCATAGATGGGGGTCGATATTCCTTGATACAATTGCAAACTCGTCCATGGGTACTTTCTGTTTTTCTTCTCTCTGATGACTGCAACTTGACCATACAACGGGGAGATTCTATCATGTGACACGTGCATGCGTTCGTGATGTTATGTGACACGTGCATGCGTTCGTGATGTTACGACGATCAATATCTTGTATACTTCTTTCTCACTGTAAGTAGTGAGACGTTCTTGAAATGGCCTCTTTGCCCTTCTTGGTCGATTTAATCCATTTTGGGTGTATTTGATGGAGATTATAAGAGCATTATAGGCATGCAGCCACGGACACCATCAATTAATGATGCGCTCTGACTGTTCGGAATCGGTACAGCGTGGTACCATTCATTGATCTTACATACATGGCCTCGGACTAAAGTGTGTCAAATTTACCGGAATGGCCCATGTCGCATTGTCGGCCTATGTGCGGATATCTGTTCCCTGCTCGTTGGTGTATGTGGTCATTTTTCTATGGTGTGGATAAGTTCATAAACAGTACCTACAAGTTGTGATGCAACGTATAAGCAAAGCAACTGATCATTGGTTAACTTAGTACCAACTCCCCTATCGACATTTGAAAAGGGCTCGAATAAAACTCACCCCCCCCCCAAAAAAAAGGGGGGGGAATTACCATTTAACAACTTGACTTTCCTTCTTCGCAACCAACTTTTTTTTAACCATGTAAAAAGTGAAGAAAAAAACATGCATTAAAGTGTTGCATTAAATTTAAAGGGATTGGATGTCGATCTCTTTGCACAATTTTATTCTAAAACCGTTCGACAAAAGGTTATTATCTGCGCTTTGCTGCTTTCATAATTTTCTTAGTTTGTAACTTTGTACATCCCCATAGGTGCCGATACCCCCTCTTTTTTCCTTGGGCTTGGGAGGGGTACATAATGAATATATTTGGGGGCAGTGATTGCCACATGTCTTCCACGGCGTGCGAGCGCGCAGTGTGGACCGCCAATGTACAAATGTACATGTACATGTAGATAATACAGTAATGTATATCCATCGATGATCTAATCGTCAAGTCATGCTTGTTTAGTGCCCCGTGACATATTACACCGGTGTCGCTAAGCTTTGTTGTGGTATGCATTTTGAATGACTTCCTCTCTGCCCTTTTTTTTTTCACGCATAACCTACTTTAATTGGGACTAGGAGGGCCAAGGCAATTATCACAACGTTGTAATTAATCGGGCGAGGTGTAATCCGGAAGTATTCATTTGTAGAGCGATGAAACTTTGATAGCAAGTCAGGGGGGTGCATGGTGACCGCTTATGACCCCACAGTAGCGAGTCTGCTGCTGGTGGTGTGAATCGGGCCACATCCCGTACACAAATGGGTTGAAATTTCTGAATCTAGTGGTTTAAAGGGAATATACATGTACATCATTGGCTTTTGCTGTAATTTTCAGAAATGAAATATTTGAGGGGTTAGTATAATAGATCAAATATTGTTACACTCACATGTTTGAAGTTTTGTGTTCGAAAATGCTGGAAAAACCAAGAAAAACAAAACTGTTCAAGTAGTCTGGTTCCCTGACTCCACTAAATATAAAATAGATCAATTTACAGATGCCGGAAAATTGTAAGGAAAGGGTACCAGTCTAGCTGGCCTGCACCCGTTCATGAACATGCAACCAATAGCAAACAAAATTTGGACTGAATTAATGGTAAATTTGGAGCAGTAGTTGAAAAATAGTTAGGTTTTTCCAACGGTGGTCGGCCGATCACCGCTGGAACTTTTTACAAAAATACCATTTTCTTGAAAATGACTTCACACCAGGTGCCATAATTTTACAGGATGCTTTAGACTGTCATTTATCAACATCCTATTAAGGTATTTCGCAAAAACTTGGTAGTTTTATTTTTCGATGTTTGCAAATGTTGTATATTCCCTTTAAACATAGAAGCAAGGAGACTATATGCAAACTGATGTGCTGTTTTTTCGGTGTGAATCGTCTTCAGGAACAAACTTGACAGCCCATGTTGACGGTGCCAGTGGTTTATTATTGGCACAATGTGTGGATGAATGCGTTGTGTGACATTTTGCACCATGTTGTGCAACATTGATGGTTACTTGGGGCCCTTCACTTAATTGGACACAACTCTTCCAAAATTCCACCACACTTTAAACGGGGTATACCCGATGTTCCCCGATACCTATGTTCCCCAAAATCTTTAGGTTCCTACGGGCCTGGTTAGATGGTTATAGGGTTAGGGCTAGGGTTGGGGAACATAGATACACTGCAAAAACTGCAGTGTTAAATTTACACCATTGGTATCTATATAGGACCATCTGGTGTTAAATTTTACTGGCGTTGTCCTATATAGATACCGAATGGTGTTAAATTAACACTACAGTTTTTGCAGTGTATTGGGGAACATAGGTATGCACCCTCCTGTGTGACTTTTGTCACTCGTAACTTCACCTTTTTCTCGTTAGAGAATAGAGAGGCTAAAGAAGTCGCAACAGGGAACTGATGACGGATTAGACAACAAAATCTGTATAAGAGATGTGGGGTATCTCATGTTAAAGTTAAACTCAATTTCAAGCTTTATATGCAATCTAGACGATTAACGCCAGGTCGGACACTCAAACAGCCATCGGTCCTTTGTAGGCACTATGATGAATCCTGGATGCAAGATGGTGCGCATCGGGTTGCAAACTTAGACGCTTGTTCAAGTCCACTTTAAATTAAAGGGAATGTACATCATTGGCTTTTGCTGTAATTTTCAGAAATGAACTATTTTGAGAGGTTAGTATAACAGATCATATATTGTTACACTGACATGTTTGAAGTTTTGTGTTCGAAAATACTGGAAAAAAAGAAAAACAAAAATTTCAAGTAGTCTGGTTCCCTGACTCCACTAAAGATAAAATGGATCATTTATAGATGCCGAAAAATTGTAAGATAATGGAACCAGTCTAACTGGCCTGCACCCGTTCATGAACATGTAACCAATTGCAAAAAAAAATTGATAAATTTGGAGCAGTAGTTGAAAAATAGTTAGGTTTTTCCAACGGTGGTCGGCCGACTACCGTTGGAAATTTATACAAAATACCACTTT